TGTGTCTCCCGGTTGACCTCTTTGTAGAGCCCATCAAAGGCTTCCTTCACGTCGGAGATGGGGAAGGCACACACCGCTGCAGCCCCAGGGCCTTTCCTATCCCTGGCAGAGAGGGGCAGGAGAGGCAGCGTGGGCCTTGAGGTGCCCGGGGAACACCGTTTCCACCATTCGCCTGCACGTTGGGCCTTAGTCATGATGCACCTCTTTTCCTAGACCACCACCCTCTGTGGGTGCTTTGGTGCCAGACCCCCCAAGGCTCACCACTGAGAGGTAAAGACCCCATAGAAGACCGTCTCTGGCCAGCCATCGCCTGACGTCAACACAAACATGTCCTGAAGCACGTTGAAGGGGAAGCCGTCCTCTGGGTGGGAACATAGCAGCTGAGCCTTCAGGAAGGTTGTCCATCGTCGCTGGAGCACACGCTCTCCGCCCAGGTCATCCTGGGAGGGCAGGAGGGAGGAGGAGGAGGAGGAGGAAGAGGAAGCCAGGAAGAACAGGAACAGGAGGAAGGGAAGCAGGCTTGCCAAACGTTGCCATTCCCCCGGCTGAGTGGCAGCAGAGCCACCTTCTGTGCCTCCTTGGACACAGAGATCACCTCTGACTGGCGCCCAGCCACTGCCCTCTGCCCCTCCAGCCTCAGGTCCCAGCCCAGGTGAGCCCAGCAAATCTTTCTCCCTCAACCGAGCCTGTTGAGCCCATGGGCAGCTCTGGCACCCACGAGCAGGACAGAGAGGACGAGGAAACGATGACAGCTGCCAGGACCCCCCACTGCAGAGACGGAGGGCAAAAAGCGGCATAAGCAGATTTCGGTCCTCCCCCCTCCCTCACATGCCCCTCACCTTGCACACACGTGCAACACGGGACACAACAGTGTCTTCAAAGAAGTCAAATTCCTTGCCGGTTTCACTGAAGAAGAAGTAGATCTTGCCCTCTTCATCCTCCTGGGCGCTGCTCTCCCGCAGGAAGGCTGAGCCCACAAAGAACGGCTCTGCCCAAGAGAAGGAAATCGGATCGGGCCCTTCTTTTCCTCCACTTCCTTTAAGGGCCCCAGAAAAACAGGGAGGGGGAGGGGAGCTGCACAGACAAAGCTGCTATGACTGCTGCCAGTGCTGGGAGGGTCCTTCAGAGCAGTCCCAGGTGCCAGTCTCTGGGCACACACTCCCCTCCCCCTTTCCCACTTCTCTCTCCCACTCCTTTGGGGAAGAACTTCCCCCTAGAAAGAACTCCTCTGCATTTATTTGGCCAAGTGGGATTAGACACACGAGGAATTTGTCTCTGGTGCAGAAATGTCTCTAGTGTACATGCAAAACAACAGAATGATGATGATGATGATAATACCAATAAGAGGGAGAAGTAATCAGATTGGATAAATAATAACACTACAGCTATACTACATGGGTAAAAACACACACACACTAGGCAGAAGTAGGTGTTCAGCAGAATGATGCCACAAAGGGAAAATTTGGAGTGCTTTTATATGGTTAGGAGGACACTGACTTTTCCAGCCTGCCCTATCTATGTTTCCTGGTCAATTACATGGGAAAATCCCATAGGAGGAAAATTCCACTTAGGGTTAGGGTTAGGTCACCATGAACTCATAGAGCAAAATGGACATCGCCAACAAACTCGGAGTGCTTGGGTATGGTTAGGAGGGCACTGACTTTTGTAGCCTGCC